AGAGTCCTCGGCTGTGTGTGGATTTTCGCGCGACGCCGCCACGTCTCGCGCGTCCCGAGCGTGCGTGCGCCGCCATGCCGCAACCGCCGCTCTACGGACGGCCTGATTGCGGCGGCGGGCGGGCAGAGTGCGCCACCAGCGCCGCCGCCGCACGTCGAGGCGCGCGACGCCGCTTCGGGCCAGCACACAGCGCGAGCCAGCACGGCGGACGACGAGCGCGCGAGCACCCGAAGAGTGCGCGAGCGGGAAATCGGCCGGGCGCGCAGTCTGAGTGTGACCGTGGACGTGTGAGTGTGTGTAGCGAGAGCAGCAGCCCCTGTGTTGTCCAGCATGGGGCCCGAGGGGGGAGGTGCGGCTCCCCTCTCGTGATCTGCCAACATTTCCCGCTTCGAGTTAGTGGAGAAATGGGGGCTGACCCCTGTCCTCAAGCCGAGGCAGGACCCACGGCCCCCTGAAGGCGCCAGGTAAACTAACGCACCGCAACGCACTAACTAAAACCACCAAACCCCACACACGCGCACACTCACACACACACAACCACCAACAAGCACTCAGTCTGTGGCATACAAAAAGAAATCAACAAACAACCTGCTCTGAAGAAGTCGCCCGACGAGAAACCGCCCCCTGCGGCGGTTGCACTTCTCGGGGCGCATGCAAACATACTAAACACACTTGGGACACACTTGGGATGCTGCAGTAGGATCAATGAACCATGGATCGAAATCGTCCTGAAACTGCCGGTGTGGATCAATGAGGTACACAATGCAGCATCACCACACACATCCACATCTCCCATGTAGCAAATCACACATCTGCAAAGCCGCGTTGCATCTTGCGAGCGTGATCCACATTGATCACGATGCGGCGTCGGAATTAGGGGTGGCATACTTGGAGGAGATCTTGCCAAGTTGCGGAATTAGTGTCGACGGGCGAAAACGCCACACGGACTCGGCAGAGAGAGGCACGGCGGCAAGCGGACACTCGAAATCGATTTTCAAATGCCACTTTTGCACACTCCTCCTTCTTCCTTTCATCCTTTCGTGCCCCCCTGATCAACTACACGCGCAGATAGACGCACCAGCGTTGCGCCTCTCCGTGATAGAATTCTTGTTTTCTCTCAAAAACACTGAATACAAAATTGAGCCATGATGAGCACAGGGATGTACCCCACCCTGATGGGAGATCACTGTAACAACCTCGCGTCCTTTGAGGTGTGCGTTCGCATTGCGGTGTTTGCAAAGTCGTTGTCTTTGAGTCCATTCCAGTTGCTGCGGTTTCGCGTTATTCTCGAAATCCGTGAAAGCCACACCAAGGCAACAACACGTCAATACATTTTCGCAATCATTGTCGAAAAGGAAAAAGGTGATCATAACCTCCAATCACGGCAATATTTTCGCAATAAATCAACTCGTCTCGGACGTTTATATTGCTCAGATCCTATTTGTGCGATGCGTCGCGATGTAGCGAGTGATTGCCATGCATATTTATCATTTGCGCGTCGTGGTGCATTGCGAACGTGGACACATGATGCGGACGAGGGGGTCTAGCCCCCTTTTTTCCACGGTGCGTACATTTCGCCCTGCAGCGCGCATAGCTCCGCATCCGCCCGTCTCTATCGGTCCTTCCGGCATTCGGCAGCAGGCGCGCGGGCCGCCGCCACCACCCCCGCCCGTTGCGCCCTCCGCGCTCACGCCGCATCTCCGTCACACTCGCGTCACCCTTTCCGCATAGCGCGCGCCCTCGTTCGTTCTCTCCTGCGGCGGCTGCTGTGCCGGCGCTCTCGCGTACCCACACACACCACCGGCGTCGCCGCCCGCGCCGCACCTGCTGCCTGCTCCTGCTGCTGCTGTGTTCAGCCGCCTCCGTTTCGTGTGTACACTTCACTTGTGGGTCATTGATTTTTTCTGTGTGTATACACACACGCCGGCACACGCGGGACACGGCAATTCGCGTTCGGGTTTGCATACGACGTCGCCTGCGTGAATATAATTCGGGCTGTTATTTTGTGTTTTTCCATTTTAGTCGCGAGCGCGCGTTGTGGTGCCATTGTGAAAGTGGATCGCACGCGCGCCGCCGCTTCATAAATCTCGGTCTCGGGCGTAATATACTCGCGCACGGGGCAATAAAAGTCGCCCGACCTGTGTACGACACGAAGAGGGGGCGCACACCTCCGGCCCCCGGCGCCAATGTTGCGCGGCGTAATTCAACCAATTGATATGCCGGCCGGTCGGGCCAACTTGCAAAATGTATCCTGTAATTAAAATTTTAAACGAAAGGACACCTTTCGTGTGACACCAGTATTTGCGCCGTCCATGTTGTATGTTGCTTTTTTTTACTGCCTTGCACTGAGGGAGAATGCGAAAACACCGGAAATTTACTCAAATTGGTAACTACGGCAACAGTTTAAACGGGCATCAAGATGGCGTTTTCCGTTATGTGCTGGCGCCGCGCAAATGTGTTCCTGCCGTTGCCGCAGCGCGCCGGTAGTAAAATGAGCAAAGTAAGGAAACGAGCAAAAGTGGAAACGCCTTCGAACTTTTTAAGACTTTCTTCCAAATTGAATACATTAAAAGTGATGTTTGCTCTCTTGCGACTGTAGTGACCAATTTATTTGAGTCGCAGTTTATGTCTGCTGCTTGTTTAGATACGAATTGAAAGTGCACACAACATTTCGCCCGTCTGCGCATCTATAAATACCATCGTGATATTACAAATATTTTGGTATTGACTGCCGGCGCTGAAAATTATATTCGCATATCGATTTCGATTACCATTCGCCAGCGCAGCCCGGCAGAAATATTATGATGACGACATGCGTTTCTGCCAATGTTCGTTACATGTGCGAATGTGACGGCCTCCCGAGCGCAGATCACGGATAAATATTTACGTTATGAACCTCTTTTTATAAACATTCATCATATGTTATGGATTTTCCTCAATTCTTTCTGTTTTTCTCTGCCTGCGTGTTTTGTGCAATCGAAAATAGGGAAAAAAAAACGAACGCACGAACAATCGACTGTTATCTGAAGACGTTGCGCTCGTTAGGCGTGATTAGTCGAAATGGATGTGACTCGTCTTGTTGTGGGGGTTGACCGAGGGCCGGGGTACACTATAGGCACTCGTCGCCGACCCAGCCTTCCGCGTGCATTATTCATTGTCGAATCGCGTGACTCGCGAAACTCCTCAGCCCTTTGTCTTCCGGTGCACCCATCGCAGCAGGGCCTCTAACCCTAAAGATTAATACAATATCAGACCCTGCAGTGGGCACAACCTAGGAGGGTCTCAGGATCCACCCATTTGTCTAATATTAGACGTGTGTTACACTGACCTCGAAAACGTGCGATTTTTCTATATTCCGATACACCTTATATAACAGACTGTCTTGGCGACTATTTTATTTTCCCGAAGCACTCGCCCTCGCTTAGAGGGAGGAAGATAGTGATCCCTGGCGTTCAGCCAGGAAACCATTCCGCGCATTGGTGGCATGGCGGCGCGGTAGCTGCTGTGCATAAACAACGACCATATAATATTATCGCCAGTGGTGATCTAGACGCTGAGTTATTTATCGCTTCGACAATCGACATAAAGAAACGCAATCGCGTTTGGCGGGCACGACGCCTATGCCACCCGAAACGCAACCCTCGCAAATATATCGTTAATGTATATTAAACTAATTGGGGGGAAGTTGCCGGAGGCAATAAAAAAATTGGCATCGGTGAACGACGGAACTCCAAGGACTCGGCGCGCCTATAAAAATATCCTCAAATTACACATTAAAGACACATTTTAAATAAACCAGACGATGACTGAAGCTTCTTTTGTAAATATACACGTCCAAACAGCGCCTAATAATAATCGCCCACGTGTTTCGATTGCAACGTGTTCGCTTTCCGATACCATTGTGTAATGTGTATCCGCGTATGGTCATTGATCGTGATCTATGTCAATGGTCTTGTCCTTCCAATTCCGTTTCGCCGAGTGCAGGCCGCGCGTCAAGGACACGCGCGAACTTGATTCTATTTTTCGTTGCGCGCTCCCGTTCCCGGCTGACATAAGCATTCAGCAGGAAGAAAACAGGTCGGAAATTGACGTTAGCGCGCGCTCCTCCATCGCAATGTATTAATAGCCGCCCAACCTGTGCGCAGAGATCGACGCGAAGAGTGACGCCGTCGATACGGCGTTATTTATGTATATGTGCAACCTCAGAATGGCAGCCTGTAGTTCTGGATGCCGACTCGAGGTTGTTGCAAACCTCTCTCTATAAATACCCGTCGAAATGTTAAGGCGTCCGATTCGGAATCGGTATCAGTCGGATGTTTTTCCACGCGAACCACCGAGTGCTGACCCGGCGTGCCCGGCGTGTCCCGGCGATGCAGCATGATGATGACGCCTATCCTGTGCGGCGCGCGCGTTCCCTCTCTACCACGGAGCGCGTGTAGTGCACCAAACGTGTATTTGGTGTCAATGGTACGGCGACCTACTTCTTGAACCTCTTTGACGTCATCGTGTGCCTAGCGCAAATTGAGCGCCGCGCGTTCGCTCGCCACGCCGCGGACGTCATTAATTTTCGAGAGGCCGCCTGCCACACTGGCAGCCACTACTCGCGGGGGCTTTGAATTTATACGCCTGCAATATCGATAGATTTAAATTTTCCGCTCGCGGATGATGGGCCTCCTTCAATGGAAATCCCCCTTGACTAGGCCTGATTTATGCATCATCAGGCACTCTTTACGTGCCCATTTTCCCGTAGACAATCACACAAAGAACACTTTTCTATGGTCAAGTGTGTGGCGTGTGACTACACCGCTATGACAACATTGTAATCTCTTGTTTGATGTCGCCTCAAAGTCAGTAAACAGCGTGTTGTTTTGTTGACACGGCGATGAGGTTATGCAGTCATGTTTGGAAGACATCCTTCTGCGGTAGTTAGTTGGGTTGTGGGTTGGGGGAGCAGGGGTTGAAGATGGACACTTTACTAATGGCGCGTGTGTGTGTTTTAGGTCGCTGCCCAAGCTCAGCAGCCAGGAAGAGGACGGGCACACCCCCCACTCCCAGTTCACCGGCGTCGCCCACTTCGAGCCCATCCCGCACGACCACGACTTCTGCGAGAGGGTCGTGATCAACGTGAGCGGGCTGCGGTTCGAGACGCAGTTGCGCACGCTGAACCAGTTCCCCGACACGCTGCTGGGCGATCCCGCGCGCCGCATCCGCTACTTCGACCCGCTGCGCAATGAGTACTTCTTCGACCGCAACCGGCCCTCCTTCGACGCCATCCTCTACTACTACCAGAGCGGCGGCCGCCTCCGCCGTCCCGTCAATGTGCCGCTGGACGTCTTCTCCGAGGAGATCAAATTCTACGAGCTGGGCGAGCTCGCCATCAACAAGTTCCGCGAGGACGAGGGCTTCATCAAGGAGGAGGAGAAGCCGCTGCCTTCGCACGAGTTCCAGCGCAACGTGTGGCTGCTGTTCGAGTATCCGGAGTCGTCGCAGGCGGCGCGCGTCGTCGCCATCATCTCGGTGTTCGTCATCCTGCTGTCGATCGTCATCTTCTGTCTGGAGACGCTGCCCGAGTTCAAGCACTACAAGGTGTTCAACACCACGACCAACGGCACCAAGATCGAGGAGGACGAGGTGCCGGAGATCACCGACCCGTTCTTCCTCATCGAGACCATCTGCATCATCTGGTTCACGTTCGAGTTGTCCGTGCGCTTCCTGGCGTGCCCCAACAAGCTCAACTTCTTCCGGGACGTCATGAACATCATCGACATCATCGCCATCATTCCGTACTTCATCACGCTCGCCACCGTCGTCGCCGAGCAGGAGGACACCGCGCACATACTGCGCGCGCCCGTCTCGCCGCAGGACAAGAGCACCAACCAGGCCATGTCGCTGGCCATCCTCAGGGTCATTCGGCTCGTGCGTGTCTTCCGCATTTTCAAGCTGAGCCGGCACAGCAAGGGCCTGCAGATCCTCGGCCGCACCCTCAAGGCCAGCATGCGAGAGCTGGGCCTCCTCATCTTCTTTCTCTTTATCGGTGAGAGACGCTTTTCTTGCTCGACCCCACCCCACCCCACGCATCATCAGTATTCCGTATTCGATCGGTTGCGTACCTACCAGTGTATTTGTACTACCTACTACTACTACTACATAATACTACTCTAGATGACTAGCTGCAGGTGCTCGCCACAGAGGGGGACGCCGTTGCGCCTCCGACAGACATGTCTTTAATCTAGAGCTAGAGTTACTTACTAACTATGAGACTAGTTGCGTTCTGATCTTCTTGCACGAACAGACACGTACCAGTTTAGGCCGTACCAATTTAGGTAAACTAGCTGACTGAGACTGAGCCGCCTCTAGCCTCTAGCTAGGCACACCCGCCACCACTCAGGGTCACTCTCTAGGCAGGCACGCACGCGGCGGCCGGTGTGTTGTGGCCGTGGACCAGCGCCGACGCCCGCCCTCTCTGTTGCAGGTGTCGTGCTGTTCTCGAGCACCGTCTATTTCGCCGAGGCGGGCTCCGACCAGTCCTTCTTCAAGTCGATCCCAGACGCGTTCTGGTGGGCCGTCGTGACGATGACGACGGTCGGCTACGGCGACATGAGGTACAGTGGCTAAATCCCGGAATCTGAACCCCACTTTCTCCTCCTTGCAGGTGTCGTGCTGTTCTCGAGCGCCGTCTACTTCGCCGAAGCCGGTTCCGAGAACTCCTTCTTCAAGTCCATCCCAGACGCGTTCTGGTGGGCAGTGGTCACCATGACAACCGTCGGATACGGCGACATGACGTATGATGTATACACCTAATTCAGATTTAGTTGCCTCCACCGTAGTTGGGTACACTCTCTCGCTAACCGATAACCGACCGACTAACCGCTAACTGAAATGGCACGCGCGCCATTTTCTCAGCACGCGCACGCGACCCGCGGTTTCATGCCAGGCGCGGGCCTTTGTAACCACTGCTGACAGAAAATTCTTTGCTCGCCGGTTTCGTCGCGCGACACTCTCGATCGGCGCCCGCATTCCAAGAAGCACCTGACCTCATCTCTCTCTCTATATCACACCACCTCACTTTCTCTCTCTGTATCTCTCTGGAACCCCCCGAACATGCAGCACTCTAAACAGACACCCCGACATCCGCCTGCCCACCCCTCCTCCCTGTGATTATTTTTTAAATAACAGTTTGGTTTTAAATAGCATAAATGTCGTGTCGCAGTGAGGCTCGCAGTGTGCTCGCTCGATGTTCTTTCATATTAATATTTACGTTGTCTAAATTCTTCTGCTCACTTCCGTTTTTCTTCACACTTTCCTGTCTTACTATCTAACTCATTTCTCTCGGTGTTGTTCTGCTTCCTTCCGAACTCTCTAACTAACTACTACACTCTACCTCTACTCTTCTTTCTTGCTCTGTTATCTATATATGAACGTGTATTATATATAACTGTCGCGTGGCGTGTTGTTGTACATTTTATTTTCTATATCTATATGTGTGTGTGTCGAGATTGTTGGCCGCGTTGTTGACCCACACAGAAACACACGAGGAACAAAGAATTTTCACTCTCGAGACCTAGACCAAGACCAATGCCAGCAACGGTAATTTGGTTGGGCGAGAAAAACGCCGCGGACACGCTCGCTCTCTACGCCCGTCAATGTCTCAATGCCTCCGGAATGGACGTTTGTAATGTTGTTTCGATATCCGACCCGCAGTAACATCGAGCATGCCTACATGTTGTGATCTCTGTGTCGATCGAGGCGAACCACCAAAAAAAAAAAATGCCTCTGCCACGCTCGCCCGCCATTCGCCCATCCCTGTCGTGTCTCCCTTTCAGATGACACCATCGAATTGTTTACCCAACAGCTGTCTGTCGCAAAAAAAAAAAAAACTAAATGCACTGCACTCTGACCAATAATATGTGTGTGCCTATTGTGTGATAATTGTGCTTTGTGCTGCGCTGTCGCATGATTTCGTTCTTTTGCACGTTTTCTACAATTAGTTGCGTTCTTTTTCAAATCGCTTAGTTTTGCTTGCAAGCAGGCCCAAAAAGCTGAGCTGCCGCTTTAGTGTGATGCACCGCTCTTCACTGCTTTGCATGCGATTGCGAATTTGCAATTGTGGCGCTATTTTATTACTTAACTTAACTGATTATGTCTTGTATACATTTATATTTGGTTCTTCCACACTCACCAACTAACAATTAAGTGCTCTTACCTTGAACTGATCGTCATGGCGGCGATGCGGTGCGGATGACTAATGTGTTGTCTGTTTTCTGTTTGCCGTTGCGTCCTGCAGGCCGGTGGGAGTCTGGGGGAAGATTGTCGGTTCTCTGTGCGCCATCGCCGGTGTGCTGACGATCGCTCTGCCCGTGCCCGTCATCGTCTCCAACTTCAACTACTTCTATCATCGTGAGACTGATCAGGAGGAGATGCAGTCGCAGAACTTCAATCACGTGACCAGCTGCCCCTATCTGCCCGGCACGCTAGGGCAGCACATGAAGAAGAGCTCGTTGAGCGAGTCGTCGTCTGACCTCGTCGAGCTCGAGGAGGGCCTCTTGGTGACGCGCGACCAATTGGCCCGCAAGCAGAACTGCAATCCGCGCCACAACAACAACATCAACGCCATGAGCATCGAGACTGACGTCTGACTACGAGGTAAGCTTCGCGCGCGCACGCACTTGAATCACATCTGCGCTGTGTTTGTGTGTAAAGTTGGTTGCCAATTGTATTTTCCGGTTTTTGTTTTTAGTGACGGATGCGCTGCGCCCACGGCTGCTCCGCGCCCCGCCGTCCCCGTCACAGTGTGTGCGCGCAGTGCTCCGGACCCTATCTGAACTGCCTCCGCCTCCGATTCGGTACTTTTGTATCTCGGTTGTTTTCGGGTGAGTTATCCTGCCAAAAAATAAAACAAAAAGAAGCATATAAAGCAACAAACAGAATAAGCTAAAATTTAAACACAAATTCAACCAAAACACGCACGCATCGATCGATGCGCGAAAAACCATCAAAGCACGAAGAGGAAGTCGAACGAGAAGCGAAGAAGTGAACTAGCAGCGAAAGCGACGACGAAGAAGCAAACAAAAACTAAAACTCTTAGTTAATATAATATACAAAGAAAAATGCATATATACATATAAAATATAAACTAATTAAAATTTATTAAACAAAACACGATATAACGAAGATTACGTACGATTTCAACAAAAATAAAACAACAAGAACAAATCAAACGAGAAACGGAAGAACGTTAACACGACCAGGATGCGTGGGACACGCGCGACGAAAGCAGTGTGAATGTGCAGCGCGTCTCAACGAAGAAATATCAGGATGAAGGGCGCTAGCGAGACGTCACAATCGGATACACTACCCGCGTGTGTAGCAGTCCTGCTAGGATCTACTCACATTACATTATGGATGACTAACGAAGATAACTTAATCCATAATTATATATTATACATTATAACGTACGCTAAACAAACAAACAAACAAAAACCACAAACAAAATGGACTTTGATATTTCTAAATAATAATTAACGCAAATAATTTAAACATGAAAACGATGACGAAGACGATGAAGAAGACGGATGAGTTTGTGTGCGATATGCGCCCCCGATGCGCGCGCCGCGCACATGGGAATCTAAAACAAAGACATTTGACACGGAACCGCGGGGGGCTCGCGTCGTCGTCACCCCTTGCTTGCCGCCGACGTTATCTAAACAATGCAAAGAAAAAAAAACTAGCAAACCCCATACAGTATATCCTCGTTTTAAACCGAACCAGCAGCCCCGGCGAGCACGTCGGGCAGATGGAAGCCAGCGCCCCCACCAGGAATTAAGATGGCCCCCTGTTTCTCCGCGTAAAACTAATTATAATTGCCGCCGTACCGTATCTCGTAGTAGTGCTCACCCCGAACTCTTTTAGTCGGCACTGTTTTAAGTGCTTGTTGTATAATCGGGCTGTGTGAAGCTTCTAAGTAAGAAAATTTCAAACCAAAAAACAGCAAGTTACGTAAAAACAACACACACGATATGACAAGATTGACAGATTACCTAAAGAAATCTTTACCTTTACCTTTTACCTTTGAATTATTACGTACGTTTACGAAACGAACAAGCAAAAAAAACAAAAATAATATTATATTAATACCAAAAAACGGAAGAGTAAAAATTATAATTAGGGTTGGATTAGCTTTAGCCCTCGTTACATATCCACCCCCATCGCGCCACCACCCAATCTCCCTTGTTCCTCCCGTCGAACACCATTGCCACCCTCTTAAATCTCGATTTTCAACAAGAGCGTGCGGGCGGCGCGCGCCCTATCCGCTTCCAGCCGCCCCCGGGTCGCCGGCCGGCCCGCGACCCCTTCGCAATATATCACATTCACTACCAGTTTTCGAACAAACATCAACAGTTCCAAGAAACGGATTATTTGACACACACGAATGCTGACGAAAGTTGATGATTAATTGTACAACAAATGACAACTTGTATCTACGCAAAATCCACGCCCCTTTAACAAGAACAAAAAAAACAAGTAAAAATAAAATGCAGAAGAAGCAGCAGCGATCCCCGAAAATGCTACCACCTTACGTACCAGCAACGTAAAATTAACAACAACTTCGTGCGAGCAATGTTAAACAAAAATTAAATTAATCATTACTGTGTAGATAATCAATAATCAAAAACAAAAAGAATCGGAAAAGTGAATATCCCAAAAATAACGCAGCAAGCAGCATCGCAGCCATTTATCGATTAATTAATTAATTAATTAAAATGAAACGCAAAATGAAAAAGCTATTAAACTTCAGAAGTTACAAAAAACGTTTACTTACCTTAAATCTTAACGCAAATGAGAAAAAAACGCAAAGATTAATAAAAAAAAACGTATGGGATAAGTTTTCAATAGTAGTTTTTAATTGTGAATAAAAACGAGAATGAAAATATGGAAACGTAACACACCAGAAAAAACCAATAAATTATTAGAAAGATAAATAAATTTAAAATGAATTTAAAAGATAAAGTAATAAAATGCGAACATATAGCGAAAATGGAGAAAACAATGAAAAAACATAAACACCGAATTCTGTTTTCGTTTTTGTAATGCGCGACCACCGCCACCACCGACGAAGCGGCCATCTTGTTGATTCAAGATGGCCGCCTCTCAGTCCGACGCAGTGCGCGCACACGGGTGCGACCACCACCTGCAATTTAATGTTACGGATAATTAAATTTAAAGATGAAAAAATGCAAAAACAAATAATAAGATGAATGAGGAAAAAAAAGCATAATAAATTGATGATAAAATTGTTGTTTCGTTTTCGCCGCAGAGGGCGGCCTCGCGCGCATACGCAGTGCGGCGGAGTGCGGAGGATCCGGCCTCTACCGCGCGCCCGCCCGCGCTTGCGATCCGAAACGAGCGCGAGGCCGCCGCCGCCACCACCACATAAAAAAAACACACACCAAAAACTAAATCCAAACAAAAAACATTGAAACAAAAATTCTACAAAAACGTAAAAAGTATAATAAAATACACAAAAAGGAAATAAAAAATAAATACCCACATGCGCGTCCGACGCCGCTCATTGTCATTTATTTGTGAATCAGTACGAATCTAGTCATGTTTGTTACAATTTAAAATATTTTATAAATGTTGATTAATATACGACATTCCTATTTCAACATGACCGCCATTTTATTACCCCGACCGAATTCTAGGATCTGCAATAATCAAGCCAAACGACACATCGTTGATAGGGTAAAACATTTATTTCTCACTCGCTAGTTTTGCAAGTTCTCCTAGCAAACAATAAAAAAGATTTAATTAGTGTAGTTCTAACTTCAGTGTAAAGTAATAGTGAACTCCTCCCTCATACTGACGCCAGGTTTTCGCACCGTCAAACTTCTTCCTTCGGCATCATAACTTACTGGCAACTTTGTATCACCAGCTAAAAACAAAATCAATTTTAATTATTTTGAAGTCAAAAAGAAGCACGTAATGATATCAATACAAACCTTTGGTGGTAAGAACAGCACTGGTAAAACCTTTCGGTGCTCCAAGCACTACAACCCTCTCCAACCACGACAATGTGGGATAGTCAGCATCTTTATCAATCTTGGTCGCAGTCAACTTGTTGCTAGCATATATAAACTGTACGTATAAATATTTCTTCTTCCTGTACCCGTAGCTTTCGTAATCATCGATGTAAAGTGTTCCTTTGGCGGATTTATTACCATCCAAGTTTACGTATAGTGTGTAGGGATCATCATGCATAAGCGTAGATGCTCTACGTGGACGATCCATCCTCGGAACAATAGATCCACCACGGTAGAAAGCGGGAATTTTGTCCGCGTTAACAGGGACCGTAATATGGCCATTACCTTGGTATGCCTTGAAGTCTAATATGTCATACCAAATCTCATTGGGAGGCAGGTAGACTTGTGCGCTGCTTGCTCCTGCTTCAGAGACAACTTGCGCCAAAACCGAGGTTCCAAGTAATACCTGATTGTCTATGTCAACTACTTCTTTGTCTTTAGGATATGAATAGTACAGAGGACGAATGACAGGTTCACCGCTGCGTTCATGCTCATAGAACTCTGTGTACCAGAGCGGTAAGTGAGCATAACGGAGTTTTAGAGCTGAACGGATTCTAGCTTGGATTTCAGTTGAATAAAGGTAAGGTTCCCGGCGTTTTGTGTCAATATGAGCATGTTGGCGGAAGAATGGCAGCCAGATTGCAGCCTGGTACCAACGAGTAAGCAATTCCGGGTCGGGATTGTTGAAGAAACCGCCAATGTCAGCACCGCAGAAACTAATACCTGCGATGGCTTCCGACAAGCACATTGGGTAACTGGCAGCAAGGTGAGACCATTCAGCAGCGTTATCTCCAGTCCACATTGCAGTATATCGTTGACTTCCAGCATAATGCGCGCGGGTCAATTGGAAAGGTCGTTTGTTGGCGTTCCTTGCGAGGAGACCTTTGAATGTGATCATCGACTGTCAACAAATAACAAAAATATGAATTAGGTATTTTTGCATTTAAACTCTAAAAAAGACTTACATAATAAATGCCGTAGAGATTATGCACATGACGATGTTCCCATCCACCATAATGCAACAAATCCTTAGGCATAGTGATCTCAGGACCATTAAACACCGATGGTTCGTTCATATCGTTCCAGATGTACATTTGATCAGTAGATCCTTTGAAGTTTTCCAGAGAGTACAAATTGGCGTAGTAATTAAAGACTTTCGGGTCGAAAAAGTCGGGATAACTACTAGAACCAGGCCAGCACCAGCCTTCATACACATTACCATCCTTAGTCTTCACATAGTAATCGTTATTCAAACAGTCTTCATGCAAGAAATATCCTGATTCACGTTTAACATGTGGATCAATAATGCCCACTAGTTTACGACCGGTAGCGGTTAAGTTGTGCTGCATAGCTTCTGGATGCCCAAACTTAATGTTATCCCAGGTAAAGTACTTTTTGCCTTCTGTGTACTCAATATCTAACCACACAACATCCACAGGGAAGTCATTTTCATCTAATTTCTCTACCACTGAACGAACATCTTCCTCATCATTGTAATTCCAACGACATTGATGGTAGCCCAAGGAGAATAATTGCGGTAATGGTGCGACACCGGTTAAAGAAGCGTATTGTTTAACTGCTGCTGACGGGGTAGGTCCCATGAGGATGTAGAGATCAAGGACGCCACTCTCGCTCATGAAATGAACATCTACTTTTTCTTCAGTCTTCGAACCGGAGACCAGTTTAACAATGGATGAAACAACGTCGCCATCTTTTGAGTTGACCACGTCCACCCAAGTTTCGGCAGCGTTTTGCCAATAAACACCAACAGTGTTATCCTCACTATTATCAAAAGTTATTACAAATAAATATAATGCATAATAAAATATTAATAATTATGTTACCCATGAGCATAGAGAACCGGAACAGATCCGTAGATAGCCATAGTAGAATCTACTTCATATTCAAACACATCCAAGTTGTAGAGACGATAAGGATCTAATCCGCCTGGTCCAGTAGTCCTCAAAGCCAAAGAATCTGCATGTTCGGGAATACCATAGGCTCTCTGTGCTCCCGGGAATGAAATATCCATGCCGAGGGCTTCAGGGCCACGAGGTTTGCTGTCATGGTGAGATTTGAAATTTTCTTCCCAACTACCAGGGTCTTCAGGCTTTAATATAGCAAATTGTAAATAAAATAAAGTATTTAAATGATTAAATGTGTGTTCTTACTGTTTTGGCTGGAGCATCTTCAGGAACTGGTTCATCAGCAGGCTTCCTCCTGAAATGCTCCATCATGAACAATCCCCTGGCATTGATAACCGCTACCACTTTATCCTTCCTAGCAAACTCAATAGTAAATGGTGAAGCAGTCAATGTGGCTTTGTTTTCACCACTTTGAACAACCACCATTTGCTTATTTCTGGTCTGAACAGTGAGTTTACCCACTTGTGGAGCATTCTCAATGATTCCCTCAACACGGTGACGCTTATGTAAGCCATTGATTTCATCGGCAAACAGATGGAATCGATCATCGGCCAACGCCGTCAATGTAAGTTTAAAACTGGCATCATCCTCAATGTTCTTCAAAGTAACATCAAGACCATTTTCTGTCACCGTGAGTGTATCCAGATCCAATTCGAATTTCGAATGACCCGGCTCGATCTTTCTCAAACGTCGGCAAAAACTGCTTTGTTCACATGTTTTGAAGTTGTTCCTATCTACAGACGTTATCACACTGACTAGGATTCCCAGAAGGAATAACCTGCAAGAAATGTTTGAATATAGGTAATTTAAACATGCACATAATGCATAAATAACACTAGATGAGTAATATATAATCAATATTATCAAGACGAGCAATAATCGCATGAGAAACAATATAATCTGCTGATGTATATAATAAAAAAAACACAAATGATAACATGACATGATTAATGCCGGTGATTCTGTTGTTCATAACCGAAAGTATGGAAAAATGTATGTAACAAACGTTATAATATGTGAATAAATTAATTCCGATTAGGATTTTGACATTAGAATTTTATATTACGTTAGTAAAATCACATTAACTATGGAAAACTTGATGCTTACCTTATCACTAGTGCCATTTTGTCACTGACAGCACAGGTGGACCGGGCACCAATGCACAATGTCGCACTGACGGATATACACAGTGCGTAAATGAGGATATTTTATGCACTGACGTGGGTAAAGGAGAATGGGAGACGACCTCTGGTATAACGCCGTCTATATTACGATAGCATTTGCTGCTCCCCCACATGAGTACCGATTTCTAGCTTGTAGCTTCTCGAACGCTGGTTATAAACCGGTTGGAGTAGATGTCGCACGTGGGACCGTTTCAGCCATTTTAAGCACGGTCTCCAATGGTAATTCTAAACTGGTTACTTTTAAAATGACGGTACCTTTACTAAAATGAAAAATAATATAATGTAATTGGTTGTTTGTAGTCTTTATAATTAAGTGATAATATATTTATTTATACTTTTGTTTATTTTTGTAATATTAGAATACAAGCAAAAGCATTATAATAACATTAGGAAACTAAATCGGTATAGTTTACCGTAGGAAACCGAATCGCTGAAAGAGAAGACGGTAATCAGCAAAAAGAAAAATTTGTCACGTCCAGACGAACCGCATTGTTCCGTCCGCGCCTAGCAGGCGCCAGTCGCATTACCTGACCGAAGCACATTTAGCATGCCAATTAGCTTCTGTTATAACACGCTCGGCGCAGTCGCGCATTGCGCCCCGGCGTCATGTATTATTAATGCCGACAAACATTACGCATTACGCTGCGGTCGGTATGCAAGCGCGAAACGTCAAACATTACTCAATTACAATAGCAACGCCTCGCAGGTCTCAACATCACAATGGTCCCAGCAGCGCAACTCAAACATTCTTCTCTGTTGACTAAGTTTCTTCAATTCTTCGTACTTCTAATGTGTCTGTACCCATAGTAGCCGTAACAATAGCGCCAACAACTCAACAAAGTAATGAGCAATGACAATCATGACAGAGACTAATAAAAGGTGACACAGTCACTCACTGTAATCAGTTTACAAACACGACCTTTACATTTACAGTCTTATACAGTATCATCAACATTATCCAACATGTGGATGTGGATGAAACCTATTTTTTTCACAATAATTATAATTATTAGCGCGAATGCAAGCAACGTGAACGAAATAACAACACAGAACTTCGACGCGATGGTGAAGAACAGTAATAAATTGTGGATCATGGAGTTCTACTCGCCAACGTGTCCTTACTGCAAGGAATTCGCACCGGAGTACGAACAAGTTGGGAACGCGCTGGAGGGCACCAATATTAAAGTGGGACGTATTGACGGAGTCCACAATGATCACCTTGCGCAAGTGTATCAAATCCGTGGATACCCTACGGTGAAGCTGTTCAAACCCGAGAATCCTACTCCAGAAGATTATAATGGACCACGCAAGGCGTCTGTTATTATTGACACTGCGAAAGCCTTGCTCCACGACAAGCGAATCAGGAGTTTTGGTGAAGTCTATTTGAATCTCCCGCAGGTTAACTTGATTTGTGCGATTTGTTTGGTTTATTTAATCTGAGGACTTTGCAGACGAGAAGAATACCACTAACAAATGGTGCTGCTTCGCTTGGTATCGATGACAACTACTAATTTGAGCTTAAATCTAAAATGAAATAAATATTTTGATGGGGACGAGTTTGGCACGATGTTGGTTTTGGTTATTATTGCTCGTTTTTGCTGATGCCGATGCTTGTAACCTAAGAAGATGCGGTGGAATGTTGCTCAGGTGTGCGGGTTCTCTTTCTCTTTGTATGCACACAAAGTTTTATACGCTCTCGAAGCGGCGTAGTTATATGGCATTATACAAACTGGCACAGTACGAAACGACGAAAGTATGCAGGTGTGCGCCTCGCGCTGTTTTGCTTCTTCGGGGCCGGCGCGGCGTAAGCCGAAAGCACAAAAACCTCTCCGGCTGGATTTGCTATATGGTGATGACGATGAGCAAGCGCGCGGTCGCTCCTCGCAGCCCGATCGGCGACGGGCGATGAGAAAAGTTTAAGAGATGCACGTGCACACCAATTTCCGAGTAAAGCGAGCCGTCAAGCCGCATGAATTCACGACGCTCGAATAAGATCAGCGCGCGCACACTCCGCTCAAGTCGGTTTGTCATCATCAACTTAACGATTCACATTCAGATGCAGATCCAGATACAGATTCGCGCGCTCGCGCGGCTTCTTGTGCGGAACTGTTGCACATTGCTATTTTTATCGCGCTAGTGTTTGTTTTTGCAGCTAAACTCGGCCGTCCACGTGGTTTTCATAAAGACACATTGCATCCACATTCATTGACAGCCATGTGCGGCAAATATTGTTGCACGTGCATCAAGTGGCCTCAATTCTCCATTAGTCTAGCAGTAGTTAGGGAGTTGCATGGAGGATGCTGAGTGACCAAAAGTTCCTTCAGTGAAAAATGAACATCATATCACGCCACGTACGCGATAAATGCTCGCCGTGTAGAGTTTCGAAGGTCAGTCGGTGGCGCCGGTGCGTCGGGCTCTCCGGTGCACCGCATACTCAGGTGTACAACGCCGGCCGGCGACGAACGATCGAAGAAAAGGCGAAGCCCGGGCCAGTTTCCCACGTGTGCGCGTACCACCCACGGGTACCAAAGACAATCCGCTAACTAACATGCAATCGCAGTGGAAATCACACAAACGCCGCTGATTTTAATTTCAAATCACTTTTTATCTCACGATTTCAACTATAACTAAGCACTTCCAGTGACAACAAGACATTTAAAATTTAAAGTGAAATATTTTATCTGATTTCTAATGTTATGAGCTCTCAATACACCTTTTAGACGCTTTGTTGAGCAAATATTTCCAAATAAAAACCCAATTCGCATCTAATCTTGTTCTCAAACCAAACAAAAAAAAACGGCTCCCTTCTTTATTTTTTCCTTTGGGTCTCGCACACATTGATGCCTATTATACGCCAAAATCTATTGATTCCTCTTTCAGTGCGTTGCGCCGACAGAAACCCACAAAAACGATAATTTCGCCAGGCAGCCATCGTCACACCCGCTAAAAACTGATCTAAAATGCTTTAAAGAGCACTAAAAACCACTTTGAAGTCTCAGGTGTAAACAATATTGTAAAATCGGGCATTGCATAGGACGAGTTTGGGCCGCGCAATGAATGAGTGAGAACTTTTAGGGCTTTAAATTTCAAACACGCACAATAAATCCACCTGACCATGCCGGCGTGACTCCGTATGGGTTCAGCCACACTGCCGCACACTTTTAAAGGCCCCAAAACCATCCGGCATAGCTACAAGTGGAAAAAGGACGCGCGATGTGTTTGGTTGTGGCGACCGCTTGTCGGGGAATGCGGTAAATCCGATTCTACCTGTTGGATGCACTTTAATATAACGAAAACACCTACAAACAACCCATACCAATACACATACACATCTTGCATCCTTTACCTACATAATAGGGCAGTTTCTACTCGAAGTTTCCAGTTACACGTTGTTGCGGGTTCCCATGAGGATGCACTTTACAATTACCGATAAATTTCTGCAACGCCACCACGCCCACCTCACAACACTAAACAGGAATCAATTTCGATGAAAAAATAAGTCACAAAACGAAATCATAAATAATTGCTTGTCGTTTTAATCCGGTGATCCTTGAGATTCAGTTGAGGACCACACGGAATATCATATCGATGGCTTAATCAGCGCATGCTTAAACGATAGGCCCACCCGATAAGGTAATAATTAACATATTACCAAAGAAGGGCCACTTGCGCCTTATTAATGACCATGCCTCAAAACAAAAATGAGTGGCGGTCATTGTTTCACGACGTCGCTCGGCGCACATCTGGACCACACGCACATACGCACCATTAATGTTTGGTAGCGCAATGTCAAGCATGCGCAGGTATGTGCAACTCAATTAATTATTGATAGCCCGCACGCATCATACGCTCGTTTATGCATGTAAATGATAAAGAAACGTTTCGCGCACTTGCGTCGGCATCGTGTGCGGTGGTAGGTACGACTAAGTACGAGTTATGTAAATGTACCTGATGTCTTCATAATACCTTCCACTGCGTATTAACCTGTACAGAGATTTCAATTTATGGGTAATTAATATTTTTCAATTTTTAAATTAAAATTCTCTCGAGGTTGAGATAATTAAATTAATGCCTTAATTTAAAACTGTAAGCATAGAGAATTTTTTTAAATTTATTTTATATTTATCTTAAGTGTAAAATATTTAAGGTATCAATTTCAATCTGATAATCTTAACGATGCTGAGATATGAGATAAAGGGTGTGTTTTGGTCTAATATTTACGCTTTTTGGGGACCACAACCACGACCACCCCGTTTAAATGATCCAGAACGTCGAACAAAGCTGTTTATTCTCAGCATTACGAAACCCACCCTTCGATACGCCCCAAACGCCTGCACCGATTATATCCAATGCACAGGTCTTTAACTGCTGAAGATAAAACCCCGTAACATGTGTGAATTGTGAACCTGTCATAACCAGTCCGATAAATTGAATATGTGTTTAATTTTTTTGCTTCTTAGGCCATCAATTAACACCTTTGATATCAAACAACGTTTTAGTCGGGTTTTAAGCGAAAGTGTTTTGCGGTTTACAAAGTTATCTGACGACAAGCGCCAAGTGCATGCAAGCGGCGAGTAATTTGTCTCACACGCTGCGATCCGCGCATTTTTCGAAGGAATCTGCGCTCACGCTCAAATAAACAGATGGTAAAAGCGTGAAAAAAATCGGTGTCGCCTGCCAAATAGCGCGCAGCGTCCGAAACGAAAGATGCACACACTGTGTTGGTTTTTATTTGTTGTTATTGTGGTTCATCCTATCCGAATGCAAAGTCCTTTTGTTTCGCAAGCGTACGCAATGCGCAGCCTTCGCTTTCACGCAAATAGCGTATAAATATAATTAAGAAATATATTGAAATCAGCTGTTGGCCATTTTTACCAGTTAATGTATTTCGGTAACAGCTGGAGGTGTCTGGGAGCGAGGAAAAAACTCGAAATAACTTAAATCGGGCATGTGAAAAACAATAAACTGTGTAATGTGTTGCCTAAAAATACAGGATAATTGATTTCATTCATTTTTGCTTCATTCATTTTCAACCCGCTCGGCGAAGAGAAACAGAAGCCATTCGAGCGGCTATACCGTAGGAATATAATTGGAAATAATATGTTAATTTCTCATCGTCGCTTTCGGGCATACCGTTCCTGTGCTTTGCACAAGTGGCAGTTAATTGCGGCCGAAACAAGCGCTACGCCCGGAAAACAAAAGTAGCAATTACATACGCGGGCAATTCGAAACCCCAGAGGTGCGTTAAAAGTTTTAAAGAAATACTCCTGAATTTGCTCGCAGGCGAAAAACGCATCGAAACGTCATCGAGAAGGTTTATGACCGTGGTGCACAACTGCACACAGCGCGCCTTCGAAATTGAGGCAATAACGAGATGTGAGCGAGCCTCAAGAGCCGGCGTTGTCCTTTTATGGCGAGCCTTTAAAAGACTCGACCGGCTAAACTGCCCACCACAATTTTCGACGTTTAATAATTATTACTGATTTAACTACCTGTTATGCGTGTGTCCTTTCAGTTGCCATGGTGGCGGTGCGCTTCGCAGAAGGCTTCTTAATTCCGTAGCTCCATAATAGGAACCGAAGCAAACCAATGCATTTTGTTCAAACTTCGATAACATTTTCTACCAACGCATTCGCCAACGAAGAATTACCAAATGTACATAACAAGAAACTAACTAATTAGCGTGGTATTATTACTAAATATTTAAGTTGTTAAATATTATAGGTAATAAAGCAAAGCTTTGTCTTGTCTTGTCTTGTCTTGTCTTGTTCGGATAATATCAAGATTGAGTCCGCCGCAAAAAGGAATGCAGATGGGCGCCCTCGCGTTCACTCTGCGCACACCTGCACACCTCGCGGCGCTTTTCCGCGACCTTTGCTAATTATAAAAGCAGGGCCCCTTTTTGCTCGGCGCTCACCGACGCAACGCGTGTTTCGAAATATCCTAGACGAGTGTAGCGAGTGCTAAACATCACACAATTCACCTACATTCGCCCGAACCGCTTCAATATCCGCTATTTATTTATTTTCAATTAGCATTTGTGGTTAAAACTCAGCCAGCGCTAATGTAAAACTTGTGTGATTTCCAACTTGTTTAAATTAATAACCAAAGCACTTAATTTTTTTCTCTTTGCTTGTGCTCATCGAAAGCGTTAATAATGTAAATAATGCCAGGAATAACGTTCGTGCTAAACAAAAACTATATTATTATGTGTTATTAAATTATCAACGTTCTAAAATTACGACTTTATGACTTGAAGTTTTAATGTTTCTGCTTAACATTAATTAAGAACCACGTGCAAAAAGTTGCACAAAAGGTTCGCGTCTAATTGTTATTGCAGCTGGAGTACTGTTGGAGTTATGTGAGAGTCTTAACAATAAAGACAAAATTGTGAGACCACACACAGCTTCATCGTGATCTTCATGGTGCCCTACAGCACAATTAGAAGTTTGGATGTTCCCAAACTGCAATTAGCTTCAACTTCTTTGTTTTCGTTTGTTTGTACCGTACCTGCAATTATTATCATTAAAGCAGACAGTATAAAAGAAACAAA